CACTATCTCCTCTATCACGCACCTGAACCCGGTGTCAGGACAGAGTCAAATGACTGGAGGCAGGATCAGACGCAGTGGCAGAGAAAACGAAAGAGTCCGTCTATTCTTGCCACACACGTCTGGTCCGCGCACTAGGAATTAGGTTTTCACAGCAACAGGACAGGGGATGACTGGAGTCCCGACTGAATGGAAGCGCCTTAGAAGCCATTTTAGGAGAGATTCACCGCAGCCTGACTCTGCGTCCCGAGTTATCCCGCCAATTGGCAGACATCTAATCCACGACTTTTAACGCACTGTAATAGTATAAAAGTTATTTAGGTTGTTTCTAGTGCGCAATACGCGTCTAGTGCTGTGGAAACGGAACCCCACTTTCCCCCTCCCAAGCACTAGTACATTGTCCTAGCTGGTCAGTCACCTGCTACCTATTTATGTACATACTATGTCTCTCACTGCCGATTTTGTAGTTGGATAAGCCCTCAATATGCTAATGCCCTTTACTCAAATGATTATTGCGTACAATTCAGCCTATTACATTACTCTAAGATATTGATTTGACTATCGAATTTCGAGACCGCCTGATTTTTCTGAAAACAATGTTTTTTCGCGCTTTTTATATGTATGTAACCCTGCCCACGCCTTTTATTTTTAGCCAGCTCTCCTTTCTGGGCAAAAAAGTAAATCCAACAATCTTTTTTTCCCTGTAAGTACCACAAATGTCGACCGACATGATCCTCAAGCGAAAGCTTGTGGCCTTGGGTTATCCCATTGCCAACGAGTTTTCAAGTAACTGTAAGCGTTTTTTGTAATTCATGAAGTACTCAGCAGTGACCAATTTTAGAAATGTGTTGGTCTGGTTGGAGGATCGCGTCATACGAGCGTTGCCTATTTCCGATCGTTTTCGGGATACTGATTCAGACGAATGGGCCAAGTTCGAGGCTTCGGTAATCATGATTGTTTCCTAACACACTTTTCAGTACCTCTCCAAGTTAGGTTGTCCTTTTATTAGTGATAATGCCCCATGCGCTCTGGATTGGGTAATGAATCGTGGCCTTGAACTGCAATCGACCGAAGAAGGTTTTGCACTTTCAGACTCGCTTAACTCGTACAGATGCGAAAGTTAAGGCATCGAGTGTGGCGGCTTCTCAAACTTCTATAGCTCCCAAGGGCGGCAGCATTTTCGGCAATATTGACAGTAAGTCCGTTATGATCTAGCTCTCACAATGGAAGCCGAGAGTGAGGTTTTTAAGACGGGAGTTCAAAAGCTTGCAAAACTGCTTCGCATACCATCATATGCTGATCCAAAGCAGACCTTCAAGGTACGCCTTCTCTGTTAGTAATCTCACCTTTTAGGCCATATGTCTCCTCATAGAACAGAAGTTGTCTGAAGAGGCCATCCAGCAGGCGAATGATGAACAAGGAGAAAAGGTACGTTTCCCTAATAGAAATGTCACTTTGGTTTTCGGGGTTGATAATCATGGTACAGTTCTGAATTACAACTCCGTTATTCAAAGCCAGATTGTTCCTCTCATAAACTTTATACCTCACTTCCATCT